TGGTGAACTACTACTGTAATAAGAATGTTATTACTGTAGAAACTAAGTGCTGTAAATGAAACAGACTTCAGCTGTTGGAAGAGCTCTCAGATTTCAAAGTAAAATAACTAACTAAATAAATAAATACATATATTATTCTTTTTTACTATTACTTTAATCTCATTAGGGTCAACCTTCTGGTTTGATGGCCACTTTGACTATCACAGTCTAATCAGCATTATGTTGAATGCCAGTATTTTTGACAATCTGCTTTATTCATTTCAGTGAAACATTTTTCAAGTGTTAGTTTAGCTGAGACTGGAAATTGCGAAGTAATTACACTGTATGTCTTCTGCTTTCCTGAAAAAGCTTGTTACTCTTTTGCTCAGTTTCAGAAGTTTTAAAGGCAAAAAGTCAAAGTTTATAGAACATAGAACACAAAAGCGTATTTTTATCTATTGTCAAGAGCTGAGAGGCTCATTCAAAAATGTGTAACAGAGCTGGAGGAAAAGTTTATATATTTGTTTGTTTACTTATAAGCTGTTTCTAAAGGCAGATTGAGAGAATGCCTAACTTAAATGTATTTATTTTTATTGGTGAAAAAAAATACACACAGTCAATCTCTCTAATAGAGTATGACTGTGAACAGTATCACACCACCCAAATGGATTATTCTTTATCTCCCTTATATGTTAAAAAAATAAAAATACATTAAATTAAAAAAAAAAGAAAGGGGAAGGGGAAGGGGAAGGGGAAGGGGAAGGGGAAGGGGAAGGGGAAGGGAAGGGGAAGGGGAAGGGGAAGGGGAAGGGGAAGGGAAGGGGAAGGGGAAGGGGAAGGGGAAGGGGAAGGGGAAGGGGAAGGGGAAGGGGAAGGGAAGGAAGAAACCAAGGCAACTGCAGTCTAATTCTATCACCTCCCTCAACCTTGCCATGAGGTGATCAGTAGATGTCATTTTTACAATAGAAAAAGGCCAGTTTTGCTGATGAGGCAGCAAAAGGATCAGTAATAACTAGAAAGCTGCGGACAGAGAAAAATATTTGATAGCTAACAACAAAAAAACAGCAAAGAAACAAAAACAGAAACAGTTTTACTCATGTATTAAGAGCTCATAACATACATGCCCCAACATGATTTAGTGATCTTACTATAACAGCTTTTTCACAATGGATTTTTTTTCCCACAAATTCTTAGTCACTCAACAATGCATTTCAGTTTCTTAATAGACTTTGTTCAATAAACATATCTAATTGATCTTTCAGAACATAAAAAAGGTCCTCACAGTGGCATATATCAATTCACTGGACATAATTATTAATATATATTTATGAATTTTGTCCATGTCTTATATCAAAACAAACTCAGCCATATGAATGAATGTTTTGTAATTTCAACATTTTGAATATGTTTGTCAAATAGTGCCTTATTAAATCAGAAAAATTAATTCTTGCTATTCTTTTTTGTTTTGCATGTATTTGTACACCACATATATTGTGAATCTTTTCTGCTCTGCATTAAATCACTAGTGAGTGAACTGTGCATACTTAGCTGAAATTTATTGACTTTTTTTCTTTTTTCTTTTTCACTCTGGAAAATACAATAATTATACTCTTGCCACTGTTCTAATTGGATAAGATTGTCATCATCTACCAACTGAACAACTGATTACAGGAACAGCTTAACTGTCCGTCCTGTTAATACCCCTTAATGGCAGAGCTTTCATTAACACAGTGTTGTGCATAAGAGTGTAGTCAATTATCCATTATAGGTCTGTTAGTGTTCAGGGTACTTAACTATCACGATTACTGATTCACAAATAACATAGCACACCCTCACTCTAATCGCATTCCATGAACTACCATGGTTACACTTAAACAGTTTGGTCATGTTTAATTGCCGGCAGCTAAACACCACACAGCCATTCGCTCACCCTCCCCCCTCCCTCTCTGGGATGGGGGAGAGAAATGGGAAAGTGAAGCCTGTGAGTTGACATAAAGACAGCGTGGAGGAATGGTTAAGTGAAGTAGGACATGTGGATGTTGAGTAGTTAGGAGGCAATAGGCTAGTGAAGTACCGTACTCAACTCATATGAGCCTGGGCACGTACGCAGCTGGCTGAGAGCCAATCAGGCTCAAGGACGCGATGCCCTTGGGCGATCGGGAAAGTCCCTAAGGCGGGAAAGGTAGCTAAAAGAAGGAGGAACTGTCTGAAAAGCCCGGGAAGTGTTAGCCAATCCTGAGCTTAGTTTCTGCAATATGTATGAGTTGATTATGTTCGAACTAGATAAAAAGCGACTGAGCTATCCATTAAAGTTGAAGTTCACTGTTCACTCATGTTGAGCGTCTGTGTCTTCCTTCCGTCCACAACAAAACAGTTTATTAAGACAGGAAAATAATAATAACAATAATAATAATAACAACAACAATAATAATAACAACAATAATGATGATAATAGTACTAATACTAATAATGTGTGCAAACAAGTGATGCACAATGCGATTGCTCACCACTCGCTGACCGATGTCCAGCCTAACCCCGAGCAGTCTGGCCTGCCTCCCCTGGCTAGCCACCCCTATATATTGTTTAGCATGATATCAGATGGTATGGAATACCCCTTTGGCTAGTTTGGGTCAACTGTCCTGGGTCTGTCCCCTCCCAGCTCTTACTGCACCCCCAGCCTGCCCGTTGGCAGGACAGAGCAAGAAGCTGAAAAGTCCTTGGCTTGGTGTAAGCACTGCTCTGCAACAATTAAAATGTCAGCGTGTTATCAGCACTCTTCTCACCCTAAGTCAAAACATAGCATTCTACCAGCTAGTCATGCATATCTTGTTTACAATTGGTGAAAAGTTTTCTCACTTTTGTTTAAATGTATAGGTTCTGAGAAATTCAGAAAGTGTACTAAGGGAGAGATGGTCTTACCTTGGAAGCAGGTAGCTTTTGGGATGGAGGTGTGTTTTGGTATTATAATGATATAATGAACAAAATTCACTGGAGTACAGCATTTCATCAAAAACATGACAAGCATTTGGGGCAGCAAATGTGCAGCTTATCAGTTTTGGTGTGCACAAGAACAATCAGGTCTTCCTGTTGTCACAGAGCCTAGCCGCAGTGTCTCCACTCCTCTCTATGCTCCATGCTGTTCCTTAGAGACAGCCCACCAGGTTCCCCCGGTACAATAACATCTAAGGCTGGAGGCCTAGGGAATGCTTAGGTAGTGCAGCTACACTCCACTCTGGAAGCTTCTTCAGTGCTGTACCTTTTCTTTAAAATGTGAATATCAGTTTAATTTTCAAGTCACCTTAGGCAATTATTCCAGACAAAGGAAAGACATGTATAACATACCTAGTATATTTTTAGCAACTTGTCAGTTTTTATCAGGTTTTGTGGGTATTTATATTTTCTTTTTGTCTATAAACCACTTTCTTCTTATGAGGAACAATATACGGATAACATATTTTCATAGAATCATAGAATCATTAAGGTTAGAAAAGACCTCCAAGATCGTCTGGTCCAACAGTTCAACCAATACCACCCACTAAACCATGTACCTAAGTACCATGTCCAACCTTTCCTTAAACACACCCAGGGACAGTGACTCCACCACCTCCCTGGGCAACCAGTTCCAATGCCTAACCAATGCCTAATTTTGTAACAAAGCAAGTAATTCACATCACTGTTGAAAGAAGGGGAAAAGGTAAATGTACTCAGGTGAAATATGTCACATACATATTTCTAATGGGACCTAACATCATGTTTATTTGCAACAAAATGGTAAAACTAACTAACTTCATTAGTGTTTGGAAGCTCAAAAACACTTTTACCCTTTCACCCTTTCAAGTATTCAAGGATGTGATTGACTTGGGGAAATTATTTAAACTGTGCAAAACTAGCTTCATTGTTGATCTTGTAATGCCCTAATGTATTCTGGGAAAAATTAATTTCAAGTTGTGCACAAGGAGACCTAAAGTACAGCCACAAACCACACTTCAGATTCTCTAAGCTTATGATAAATTAATAGAGAGGAAGATAAATAAATAGAAATGCAATTTATCACTTTGCTGATAATGAGCATAAGGAAAAATTTAGGGTTTAGGCTGTCACTAAGCACACAAAAGTGTATGGCAGTTTTACAAAACATGTGGCTATGTTTCCATGTGGAACTAAAATTATAACATTATACCCTGTTTAAATAGAGGATAAAATATACATCTCCCTATTTTCGTAAGATCTTAGCTGTGTCTAAAGTGGAGCAAAAGAGAACCCTGCTTTAATAACTTAAGTATTCAGATTACATTTGGTCAAGAACTGAGATATTTGCAATAAAGATGTTGCTAATCCTGATATAAACTGGAATTATATTTTTCAGAGTCCTGACTCCTCTTTTCAGAAGTTAATTAGGTGCTTGCAGCTCTATATAACAGGGAAAGGGAATACGAAATTTAGTTTATAAGTTCTTATGAGACATCATTTATAAAGTACTGCTGAAATCTAAAAAATACTGACTTAAGAAAACCTAATGTTGTAAGGAATTTGATAATACATTAATTGTTTGATGAGTTAATCATTATCAAACAATGAATGTTAATCCAGAATGTTTTCTGTAAAGTGGCAAATCTCCTGAGGGACTCAGCTCATGTCTCAAGGGACAGGTACTTCCAGATGCATTAACTAATGGAAGCAGTGGCCTCACTTGTAGGAGGTTCTGAGGCACCAGGTGAAGGAGATGAAGAAGAGGTGGCCATCAGGGAGGATGAACAGGTGATCAACAGGGTTTTCAGAGAGACCCTGTGGACCCAAGAGACTCATACTGTGAGAAAGGAGGGGATTTAGAAACTATCCTCAAATGATCTGTGGATGGAAACTCCTGAGAAAGACTGGAAACTCATGATTTCTGGTAACATCTACAACTCCTTCTCCACATCCAGACCTGTAGTTATAGACCAAATTAATATGCTGGGAAAAAATGAGGAAGACAAATTCCTTGAGTGCAGACGTCAACTGAGCCTTAATCAAATACTCACAGAAAGAAGATAAGCAGGTTGGTAGGTATTGGAGATTCACTGCTGCAGGGAATGGATGCCCATAAACTGACTAATTTCATGTCTGGGGAGGTTTGCTGGTTACTTGTAAGCAGAGTCCAGATTACTGCAGAAAGACTGTAAAGTCATGTCTGTGCTGCACATCCCTGTGGGCAGCAGTGACTCTGCCAGGGGAGTCCTCCAGTATTCATGGGTGATTACATAGTTCTCACGTTGAAGGTACAGGACATGGGGATTCCAGATATAAGCTTTTTCCCAATGAGGACTCAACACAGAGGTTGTGCCATTTCCACCTTAGAGGTTTTTAAGACATGACAGGATCAAGTCCTGAACAACTTGGTCTGATTCCAAAGCTGTTCTGCTTTGAACAGAAGGTGAAACAGAGACAGATTTCCTAAGGTCCTTTCCAGCTTGAGTTATCTTGTGATCCCATGAAATCTGATGAAAACAAAACAAAACAAAACAACATATGAAGAGGAATGATATGGCCTTTTACATTTGCATTTACATTTTGTAATACAGCTCTGAGAAAAAAGAGATGGGAGGAACTGTAAATCTGAAAGCAAAAAGAGGATTAGAAGTAGAACTGGGAGACATACGTGAGACCACAGGAGTTTTATCTTGCCTATGGAAAGATTAAAGTGTTTTACTGCAGAATCTGCCAATCACGTCTCTGAATACTCAAAGTCTCACAAATCTTCTGAGTGTTTGCTGATTCACTAGGCAGTGCAAAGATGTCCAGTTACCAATTGCCACTCTCATCTGGTCTTTCCAGTGCTCTGACTGAGATTTAATCCTTTCTTTTGTTCAAATAATTCTCTTTTGCCCTTATGTTTACATTCAGATAATAATGTGACACTTTGTGACACAATAAGGTAGGAAGATAATGCTTTATGGTTGGATTTTCAGGCAATTAGGTGCTACAAGGCTTAGACTTCAGGGTCACTGCATCAATGCAGTTGGTGATGGAATACCATGGAAGACCCCCTGGGCATAAACCAGGACCGTTTCAACCAAAGTCAGACACAGCTAGCCATTCTGGTTGCCCTGATGTAGATTTTTTTTTTTTTTTTAATATTTCTAATGCTTGAAAATACAAAGTATAGGTGTTTAATGTCCCTGTTTGCCTGAAGCTTCCATATTCCCTAAATTGCCAAGCTTCTACAACATAAATATATTTTGTTTGGTATTTTCCAAATAAATTGCCTTTCTACCGTGAGTTGCCCAGCCGAGATCAAACCTATCAAAAATATTTAGCTGGAAATAACGCAGTGACATAAAAATTCAAGCTCTCATTCATAGTAGGTTGAATTCATTATCCCTTTTCATGTGAGAAGACATTTAAGAAAATTTTGACATTGTACTACAGGTAGAATAATGTTCATAGGTGTTTGAAGTCATTCTCACATTTGGAAGGAATGGTAAGGTGTGGAAACGGTAAATGGAGAGTCATATGAAAATCTGCATCAACGTTAATATTTCGCCATTTATTAGGCTACAGTAATAAGTACATTCAGAATGAGTAAAAAATATACATTTATTGACACCTGTATCCTACATATGCATTTCATTTACGGTAGCTATTTCTTTGCATAGTTTATACATACATAATATATATATATATATATATATAAATATAATTAGGAAATACAGAATGAAAAATAATTATTTAAGATTAAAGATATATCCATGGGCTATTTAAAGAAACAGTTCTTTCACATTCAGAAAAGCATTTCTGGAAAAGATTGCAGTATTCCATCCTTAGCTTCCTTTGCAAATACCTGAGAAAAATATGACCTGTAATTCTTTTCTTGTTTTTGTTATTTTTTTCCCATGCAGTTATACATACATAACTTTGAAAAGCCATTTAATTACGGTACATAGGAGTGAGGTAGTGTATTCCTGCTGTTTACATCAATCTAAGCAGAGACTAAGTATACCAGATTTATTGGTGTCCTAATATATTAAATCAGACAACAAGCATTTGTACTAATAAAGAAGTGCAAGTATTTGCCAATTTATTTACTCCAATAGAATTTTATATTAAAGCAAAATGGAAATGTAACAACTTTTCCTACCCTCTCCCTCTTCCCTTGCCTTCCTTCAACCTTCTTGGTAATTTCTGAACAGTCTTCCACTCTCTCCCTAGCAGAAAAGCAATCATTCCATAATTGTGAGGTTTCTAATCTTAGAGATACAGATGTAAAATAGCACAAGGTATGCCAAACTCCTAATGCCAGATTTATTCTACAGATACAGAAGCACAATGTGAAATCTCTTCCAGCTATCTCAGCTGTGTTTACAGATTTCTACCTACTATACTGCAAACACTTCTGTACTGTTGTTAGACAAAGACTGTCTTCTGGATGGCTTCTTTCTCCAACTCCCAAAGCACTTTGTCATATGTTCCTTATGGCAACTATAAATAACTTGGTTACACAGATATAAAGAAGTGTTAGGTTACACAGCAGAGACAAGATGAAAATAGACTTACATATATATGTGAACAAATGGTTTTATCTACAGTTGGTATTTTTAGCAACACATTTTAAACGCAATCCCTCCCCTCCCCCCCCCCCCCTTTTTTTTTTCCCTCGTGTTATAAAAGGATTCAGACATTTTTGACAACTGAAACATTTGACAAAATTTTAATGCAAAATTAAAAATAAGTCAATTTGCAAAATATCAAAAACTGTGATTTTTTTTTGTGATTTTGATCTCTGTATTTCTACAGCTTCAGTTTTGCTCCTACTACCTTGAAAAATAGAAAAATGTTCTATTCTTTCTTGCCAGTGGTGGTGAAAACTTCTGACTTGTTGGCATACTAAAAAAAAAAAAAAAAAAAAAAAGAACACATTCCCTTAATATTTTTTTTAGTTATTGTTTTCCAGATACAAAATTATATCACATTTTAGTGTTACTCTTTAATGGCATTCTCTACTATTTTATCAGATAAGTTATTGCTAGCTATTCTTCCCATCAAGGATAAAATAATTGATATACACAGTTTCTGAAAACAATTTTGTCTGAGTTTTAGCTGTATAAAGAAGAGAAATAAAGGTGGGAGTATTTTTCTGTCATAATACTTCCAGAAATGGAATTCCTGAGTGTTTAAGCACAGATGTCAGTATAATTTGAAAAATGGCTATACACTTGTGAACCCACTCCACCTCCTTTTGCATTCATGTTGGCAAGAAAGCACTTCATAGTTGTTTAGGGAGAAAGTAGAGAGAAAAAAAATATGATTGATAGATGAGTTTGGAAGTGATGAAGGCACCTGGAGTTTAGTACTTACATGCTTTCAAAAATACATGAAGCATGTGTTAATACTTCTTGTGCTTATTCTACAAGTCTGTGCTTGCAAACAAAAATACAGGACAAGACAAAAGCGCTTGAAAATATACCAGAAGAAACAGTGTGATGGCCTCTTTTCTATGCTCATCTTTTGGAAATGTGAAGCATTTGCAATAAGTCCAAAAGCAATTTTGAGATTTAGGAGTTTTGGAATGGTATTATTAATTTTTTATTCACTTACATAATTAACTCTGATCAGTGTATCATCTTCATGGGAATACCCATAGAAACCACTACCTTATTTCTCAGTGAATTTAATAAATAAGATTATGAAATCAATAATGAAAATATAAGGGACTGAGGCTTTAGGCTTTGTATTTATAATATATATTATATATATTATATATATATTATAATTATATATTATAATTTAGGCTTTGTATTTAAAATACTGGAACTTGTCACATTAGTCTTGTTACTGTTTCTTTGAGTGGGATGGTGGTTATGCTACAGTGGGAAATGGCATTAATTTCATGTGGACTTTTATTAAACCCTGTATTGTGCATATGTATGTGACTTAACAGACAACTGTATATTTCCCCGCTTCATAGATTTACAGTACAATTTAATAAAAATTCCTTAACTCTTGATTAATAGATATTTTTCAAATTAATGCTTCTTAGATACATGTTTTGTCACCATGAATGTTAATTATCTACAAATACCTATTATTACCATATCAGGATGAAAGAATCATTCTTGGCCTCAAGACATTACGGACTATTCCTTTAACACCGTTAACTGTGTAATTTATTAGTATACAGGTACTCACTAGAGCACTCTGCATATTCCCATGGAGGGGAACCAGCTTCATAGGTGATGTCTTTTTGTATAGCTATCACATGTGTCTCTAGGGTAGTTAAAAGGCAGGAAAAGAAAATGGAAAATCTGAAGACCCAGCAAGGTCTTAACTTCTACTCTGTCTTGTAATATATTAAAATGAAAATAATAACAATAAACTACTGAAATAAAATGATTTTACAAGCTCCAAATCTACCTGGAGATTCCTTTGGTGCTGGTATTAGAGCAGACAGCTCTAAGGCTGTTTTGAGGACGTTTTATCAATCTGTAGTAAAATATATACGCTAGGAATCAAAGAAACACACAGAATGACAGCATGTTAAAGTCTGCGACAACAGTAAGATATTGGAAGAAGGTAAAATCTTTTTTAGCTTTCCACTGGGTTCAAGTTCTTCTTCTTTGTGTATACCTCTCTTCCATGCTACAGTAAACATGTGTCCATAATAGCTCTGTGCCAATGAACTCAGTGTAAAAAACTGTCTGGCCATGGGGATAACAGAATCCCACTTGGAGCCATGACAAACCACTGTGTACTTTATTATACATATACGTATGTTTAGTATAAGGAACATAATGCTCCTGAGAAGCTTCCTATCCTTCCATGGCACTGGGGACAATGGTTTTGTGCATAGAGGTAAAATATTAGAATACTTACAATCATCAGTAAATAGATACTTGATCTTAGAAAAATTTACTGACATAAAAAAAAAAAAAAAAAGAGACCGGTTGCTACACAGGTTTTTCCACACACATTCAGACAACATAGGAAAATACAAGTGTAAAAACTTCTGCTAACTTACATTTTTGATAGTTTCTGTCAGGTTTAAAGATATTAATTTACCATCAACTTCCCAGTAAGCAAAGATTCAAAGCTATCATTTGAGGTTAATCAAGTCTCCTGAAACATTCTCATAAAAAATGCCAGATGTGTAATTTTAACATGATGTTGACATATACTTTAATCCAAACAGGTCAACAGCTTTCAAGGTGTTCGTGTAGACCAAGATAGAAGAGCTTTTAACTTCAGATATTCCTTTTTATTCTGCAAATAGGGTTATTTTCCAAGGATGGAGTGTATGATTCCAGTACAGGCAGTTGCTTAGAAAAGTAAGACAGATTGAAGTTGGCAGAATATCAAAGTTAGACACTTTCAAGGTTTGAAATCAATCTTAGAGAAAGTTTACAAAATATTTGTGAATTTACCTTTCCTTTGATTTTTTTTTTCTCAGCTGTTGTTTCAGATATAGATGTAGTTAGTGAGTTTTTCTTCTCTGTTCCAGCATCTTTGCCCTCTCTCATCTAACCATGACTTTGCTACCGTTGTTATGCAAGTCTTCCTACACTGCTTTCAATCATATAAGAAAGGTTAAAGATAAAATCTTCCTCCTTTTTACCATCTTGCAATAGTTTCACAAGGTACAATTTACTAACAGATAATTCATCCATTTAATTTGAATGAATACTGGAAAGTTATAGCTGTTTTTTAAACAGAAAATAAGGGAATTTTGGAACTTCACAAGAAAGAGAAAACAGGACAAGCACAGCTTGAGGAGACATTCTATCATCAAATTTTCTTGTTGGAAAACATTTTAGACACTTTATCCTTTTTTTTTTTTTTTCCTTATATACATCAAGGGTACTCAGACAAGCAGAAATAATGGCCTCTGGCTAATGATTGAAAGGTAATGTCAAAGAGCTAGTAACCCAAGCGTATGTGACTTATAACAAATTTCCCTCCTCTGCTTTCTTTGCTCCTCTGTCCAGGATAAAAACATAACACTTAACAAGTATGCTGCCATACACTGGAGACATAGGATAATATTATAGGTTGTAGGGGATCTTCAGAGGTCATCTAGTCCAATCTCAGTAACAGCAGGCTATTCAGGGTCTTTTCCAGTTGAATTTTGGCTATGTATCTTCAAGGATGGAAATTCCAAAACATATCTGATAGAACTGTGCCAAGTGTTAGGCAAACCACACAGCAAGCATTTTTCCTTACATCTAATCAGAATTTCCCATGTTCCGGCTTGTTTCTGTTGAAATTTTCTCTTATTGCTCTGCACATGAGAAGAGTATCTACTCTACACCTTGTCATCAGGTAGCTGTGGACAGCACTAAGGTCTCTACAAAACCTTCACTTCTTCAGACTGAAGAAACCAATTTCTCTCAGCCTATCTCTTTATATCACTTTGGCCAACCCCCTAAGTACTAATGGCTTTGCTTTAGTATGCCCAAATCTGTCTTATACTGCATACCCAAAAGTGGACATAGTACTTCAGACACAGTCTTACAAGGGCCAAATGGAGAGGAAGAGTCCCTCCCCTCGACCTGTTGGCTACACAGCTCTTAATACAACCAAAAGAGTGCTTGACTTGCTACTGCAAGGGCATACTTCAGACACATGGTCACCTCATAGTGCATTAGGATTCTCAAGGCTTTTTCTGTGCAACTGTTTTCCAGCCATTTGCCCTGGGGGCTGTATTAATGCATGAGGCTATCTAAACTCGAGGCATTTACCCTGGGTTATGAGGGTTCTCTTAACCTATTTCTCAGTTCTGTTGAGGTCTCTTGATGTTCTTGAGGTCCCTGCAGAATATCTGGTCATACCTGAGTGTGATATTGTCTACAAACTTGCTATGAGAGAGAGTGCTTTGTCCTATCATTACTAATAAAGATCATCTGTACTGGTACCTGAGGGCTTCCACTGGCTAGACTTTGTATCATGAATAACCACCCTTTGAGTCCAGTTTTCCAGTCCATTTTCCATGCACCTTATCATGCCCTTATCCTGTCCATATCTCACTGGTTTGGTGGGAAACATTTCTTGGGAACTCTGTCACAGACCTTGCTAAAACCAATGTAAAAATCATCCACTGCTTTTTCCTTGTCTACATGTCCACTTGATTCACCACAGAAAGCAATCAGGTCAATCATGCTTGGTTTGCCCTTTTAATATCCATGCTGGCTCTTCCCAGTCTGGAACAGTTCAGCACATGCCTGGAAACACATGAAGAAGAGGAGACTTGAGGAGGATGCACTCCTTAGCCTTCCCAGAGATTAAGGTGAAGTTGAGAGGCTTGTGCTTCCCCCAATCCTCCTTATTGTCCTTCTTGTAAATTTATGTGACATCTGCAGTCAGTTTTGTGCACCTCCCTGATTTCATTCATTATGTCCCCTGCAAAGCCAAAATCAATTAAAAAAAAAA